AATCTATAAATAGATAGATCATTTCCTGAATAAATGTTACACAGTTTTATTGTACATTAACGTGCTCTCTCGCTTTTCTTTTCTTTATGACGCTCAATTACTTAGATGTGCATCTGGACAATTTCAAATTCAACAATAATATAAACATTCTTTTAAATTTTATAATGCCCTCTTATCCAACTTAAGTGTGAACAAAACTTTTAATTTTACTTACATGTTATATGAAATAGAATAAAGCTCAGTTATTTTTCAGTCTCTAACATTTTATGTGGAAATTTTGAGGCCTCTTACATAATATTGTGCTAATTTTTTAATATCCATTAAGATGTAAAATCTCATTATTTTTAATAGTGTGAATATTCTACTAGGCAACCAAAGTAAAATGAATTTATATTACTCTATTATTTAATATACTTTTAATATGTTCTTAAATGTAGTTAAATTATCTAATGCCCTACGAGGTAAAGTTGTCTGTGGGGACGACGACAATCTTACGAGGAGTAGAATTGGTTGTTTTGTGTGTGGGATTTATCAAGGTTGAGTCGCAACCATGAGACGCATGTGTGGACCGATGATATTAGGATGTGAGCTCAAATATTTGTAATGTCTCAATCAGTCCGATGAAGAACAAATGCATGTACTGCTAACTAAGATGAATATAACTAAAAATGCAATGCAATAATAGATTCTCTCCATCCTGAAATGAAATAAGAGAGAGACACATCTTAGCCTCAGAGCACAAAGCCTGTATAACTGTTGTTGCCCTCTGAAATTCTTTGAACTAGATATTCACATATCTAACACAATTTCTTCAAGTGGATCAGGCCTCATGGTTTTATGACCGTTGCAATCCACCACATAACAAAAAGAAGGAGCTTTCTGATCGATCCCTAACATAAAGCTTCAAAAATAACAAAATGCTAAGCGGGTTGCTATGCTAAGCAGGTTGCTAGATCCTTGATACATCACCACCATTATTAGAGGAGAAAATGACTTGAGCATGCAAAAATGACTCAAGGGATACGCAAGAAGCCTCCATGCTTGATTTGTAAAATCCCCAACACAACTAAGTATGGAGTTTCATCACACAAATAAAAAAGAGCTCAAAAAAGCTACTCAGACAACTGCACTTTTCCCATACCACTGACCAATTTTATAAAAGATATTATACCAAATGACCGAACCAAAATAATTCAATCATTTTCATTATATGTTTTCAAGCTTCCTTTGACAAGGTTCCAGGTATGCAATTTAATAAACTAAATGTTAGTTTTACTTGAGTAAAAGGATTCATGCAAACAGGGAACAGTAGATTACCCAATTAACTAGTTTTAAAATTGGCAAACTTCCCTTCAAATATCTGGGTATTTAATTAAGCTAAATTCAAGATCCCATAATAGGCTCCATGGAAGCATAAAGACCTTCCATTCCGTAGTCATTAAGAAGTGCATAACACAGTATATTACCTTCAAAAGCTTCAATGAGATCCATCCATATTAATTCAGAATGAACTCTGGAGCTGATATGATCACAGGTTCTTCTATATGAATTTATCACAGAATCAAAATTATTCCAACCTTTAGAAGCAAGAGAGTGGTAGGTGGGAGGTAGGTGAGCAGTAGGTGAGATGTGGTAGGTGAGCGGAACCAAATTACAAAAGTGTCCTTTTACCTTAGTTCAATAATTGGGGGTCAAAATAACAATTCTCTACCTTGACCCTCAATTGAAAAGCTTCGAAGTAAAGATTCCCTCCACATTACCTCTTAGAGGCTCTCAGCCCTTGCTTGAGTTTGCTAAGTCCAAACAGTACATGGACTTAGCAATCACGGTTCTTCCGATAAGAGAGTACAACTCCTTTTTTCTAACTCCTTGTATGACAACGCGAGGGCCTTTGGTTACTCTGATGCAGTCATTCTCTGCCTTGAACGAGCATCCGCTTGACTCCAACATACCTAAAGAAATCAGATTTTTTTTAGCTCTGGTACGTACCTGACATTTTTTAGTACTCGTTCAACTCCATCAAACATCCTTATCCTGATTGATCCACTTTCAACAACCCTGTGAGCTTTATTGTCTCTCAGTAGAATGGACCCATCATTTTCCTGTTGTAGTATCTCGAACCAGTCTTTGTGAGTACACATGTGGAAAGAAAACCCTGAGTCGAGGATCCACTCCTTACTAAATTCAGATTATGTGATCATTAGGGCCTCAGCAGAATCGTAATCATCGGAGGCCAAGCTTTCTTCTTCTGATTTTTCTGGATCTTCTTGGTACTTATTCTTCCTGTCTGGGCAGTTCCTCTTGAAATGACCGTCCTTGTGATAATGATAGCACTTGAAAGATCCCATTGATGACTGACTCCCGCCTTCCTTGCTTGACCTTGATATGTACTGACCATTTCTTGAATCTTTCCTGTCTGATCTTCCTCTAACAATAAGACTGTCTCCGCTGACTTCCTTGTCCCTGTCATGTTTCCTCTGAAATTCTTTGGCTCTAATCAGAGATTGAACCTCCTCCAGAGTAATAGTCTGCACTCTTCCATAGAGCATCACATCCTTGAAATGCTCGTAGCTCTTATGAATAAAGTTTAGCAACAGCAGTGCCTTGTCCTCATCTTCCATCTTGACGTTGATGTTCTCGAGGTCGTCGATCTGCTTTGAGACAGATTTGTCTTCATGCATTCTGAAGGAGTATAGGCGCTGCTTCAGAAAGAGCCTATTAGCCAGAAACTTTGTCAGGTAGAGTACCTCGAGTTTGGCCCAAAGTACTTGAGTTGTTATCTCCCTCGACACCTCCCTCAGAACTTTATCGCCCAGGCTCAGGATTATCAAACTGTGAGCCTTGTCCAGCATGCCGATCTTCTCCTTCTC